TAGAAAAATGAGGCCCATAATCAGAGGCAATGTATCAGATTGGAGGAATGACACAAGTGGAGTACCACAGGGTTCAGTTCTTGCACCGGTAATGTTCATTGTCTACATAAACGATCTACCTGATGGAATACAGAATTATATGAACATGTTTACTGATGATGCTAAGATAATAGGGAAGATAAGAAACCTAGATGATTGTCATGCCCTTCAAGAAGACCTGGACCAAATAAGTATATGGAGCACCACTTGGCAAATGGAATTTAATGTGAATAAATGCCATGTTATGGAATGTGGAATTGGAGAACATAGACCCCACACAACCTATAAATTATGTGAGAAATCTTTAAAGAATTCTAACAAAGAAAGAGATCTAGGGTTGGTTCTAGATAGAAAACTGTCACCTAAGGACCACATTAAGAACATTGTGCAAGGAGCCTGTGCCACACTTTCTAACTTCAGAATTGCTCTTAAATACGTGGATGGCAAAATACTGAAGAAATTGTTTATGACTTTTGTTAGACCAAAGCTGGAATATGCAGCGGTAGAATGGTGCCCATATCTTAAGAAGCACATCAACAAATTGGAAAAGGTGCAAAGACATGCCACTAAGTGGCTCCCAGAACTGAAAGACAAGAGCTATGAGGAGAGGTTAGAGGCATTAAATATGCCAAAACTAGAAGACAGGAGAAAAAGAGGCGATATGATCACTACATACAAAATAGTAACAGGAATCTATAAAATTGATAGGGAAGAATTCCTGAGACCCAGAATTTCAATTACAAGAGGTTCTTGATTTAAACTAACGAAACAAAGCTGCTGGAGAAATATAAGAAAATTCACTTTTGTAAACAGAGTGGTAGACGGTTGGAACAAGTTAGGTGAGAAGGTGGTGGAGGCCAAAACTGTCAGTAATTTCAAAGCATTATATGACAAAGAGTGCTGGGAAGACGGGACACCATGAGCGTAGCTCTCATCCTGTAACTACACTTAGGTAATTACACGTCAGCCCGGTATAGCCCCAGGGAGCCTCCTGGGCTCACCCAGAAAATGGTGTTTCATTACATTCAACGCTGGGTTTTTTCAGACTAAGAAAAATGCGTACAAAAAAAAAGCAAATTTGAGAAAATGGTTAATGTTTTTTGAGCATTTACCGAACATGTTTTTACCTTATTTAGTGCAATTTGTTAACTTGTATAAACATACTGTGTTAAAAAAAATTATCTCTATTTGTTTTCTTACCTAGTTAAGATAATTACATTAAATATGTATCAACAGAGAAGTAATGATAGTTTTCTTTAATGATGTAAATTTTTGGATGTATTAAGTGAAATATGCTTGTGATTGCAATATTTGTATAAAATGTAACATAATAGACATAGGATTGCTGGAGTGTTTCAAGCATGGGTTAGATAGATATATGAACAGGTTTGGATGGATATAAATAGAAGCGTCCACATGTGTCGTAATAGATCTGCAGAGTCCTTTATTCCTGTTTTTCTTATCTTATAGTTATGACTGGAATGGTCTCATATGAGAAGCCATTATGAGAGCAAATGAATACTAAAATATTTTTATTTCCAATCTTGTGCACTCCATTGTATGGTAATATGTAGGCATAAACTGTATGTGTGTACACCAGGGTTATGTTAAGTCATTTATATTCTGGCACCGGCTTTATATAACTTACCAAACGTCCGTGCAGGGTCATTTATGGTGCTAGGAAGGCACAATAAAAACTCAAACTATTATTCAGGGTTCAGTAAGTAATTGTTTGCTCATGTGGTCAGCTTTGTTGACCTCTCACTGTGCACACAATGTGGTTGGGTTCCCAGACCCAGGCCCGTTTGTGTTCTCCATGACGGCTTTGTCTCATTTTGGTGGACCAATTCTGAGTGGAGGTATTATCCTGTGAAACTGAACTTTTGGTGCACAGTGGCCTGTTCTATATACAGAGGTGCCTCAGAATTTAATCCGTTCCTGGAGACAGTTCGTAACCCGAAAATTCGTAAACCGAAGGGAATTTTCCCACAAGAAATAGTGGGAAATGAATTAATCCGTTCCTGACTCCCCAAAAACTTCACTTCAAAGTAAATTTTATACCTAATTCACCCAAATCTTCACTGCAAAAGTATGTTCACGTTATTGTTTACCTTTGCTGATGACTCCTGTTGGCGTATGGAAGATGATGAGGAGAGGGAAGGAGGAGAGGTGTTACTGTTTGGAAGGGGAATCCCCTTCCATTATAACTTCAGACAGTGAAGATTTCTCTGGAGTGCACTTTCTGGCACATTTTGCCTGCATACCACTAGGTCCTGGTTGTGGATCACTGCTTGATTTTCTCACTTCTCACAAGGAAATGTTCCATTGAAGATTATTTTTCCCTTCTTTGCAACACTTCTCTGTAGTGAGGTATCACATTGTTATTAAAAAGATCAATGCAATAGCCTACTTCAGCTTTATCTGGGTGATTCTTTTCAGCAAAACTTTGCAGTCCTTCTCATACTGCACACATTTTCTTAATTAATGAGAAAGGGACATTCTCTACTGCCTCCTCTTCCTCCCCTGAAGATTTGTTGTACTGTACTATGGTCATTCTCACATGTGATTTCTTGTCTTGAACCTTACCACTGGCTTCCTTGTGACCCATGGTGAGTTATATAATAACAACTTTTATGCTCAAATGGCCAAAAATCCAACAAAAAACTCTGTAAATTGTTGTGAAGAATTCAGGTGGATAGTCACTGGGCGCGAGGCACTGGTAAACCGAGGTGCAACTGCCATGCCACCACATGCTAGGTCGGCTGTATGCGTATCAACAAACTCATATCCCGATGCAAAGTTCGTATCCCGATTAAAATTTTACGAACAAATAGGGCTCGTAACCCGAACAATTCGTAAACAGGGACGTTCATAACCCGAGGTACCACTATACTACCGTAACTGTTTATATACGTTATATATTTACTTCCCAAGTGTGTATTTACCCAAGTGTGTTTTGTTTTGATTTTTTATGTAATTTTGTAAGAGGATGAGAATTTAGCCTTTTTCTCCAGTGCCTTCCTAGCATCTTTATTGGCACTGCAGGTATGTTCCAGACAGTGATGTGGCACCATTGCCTGAATGTTGTCCTTCCTCTCTATACCTGTTCTTAATCTATAAACACAGCAAATATTGACTTCAGAGTGCCATTGAGTAATTCTCTCCTGAGAAAAGCTTTTCATATTGACTCGGTCTTATTTTGATAAATTCAATTTTTTAAAATTCATTTGGATTTTTTTTTTCTGGGGGAGCCCTTCAGCTCTCTGGAGCTTACTAGGCTGATATGCTAATGTCAGACTTTGACATCAGTCATGTGTATGGAGTTCTGTGGGCCTACCGGGGACCACGAGCCAGAACCTGGCCCCCTCAAAGAGGCATGAGGAGCAATGGCCTATAGAAACCCCCATGTGGCTGGAAGCATTCTGTGTCTGCCATCGACCGGATCAGGCACCCAGAAATGTAAACATCCCAAAACAAACCCCTATTCTGGTGAAAATTTTGCTACCAAAAGCCGAACAAGTGGATAGAACTCCCCTAAAAGAAACGAGCAAACGAGCATGACGTCACACGTCGCCGCGCCGCTGTCTGCGCAGCTTTCCCCTCCCTGGGAGGGGGAAGGGAGAGCCATTTTCTTTTTTGGCAAAGAATGAGACTGCTGCTTTTCGGAGGGGTCCTTGGGTTGTTGATGCTTGGTTGGTCAGGCCAGGGGTGCATCATGTTTTGTGTCTGGTAGCGGCCCTCCGCCGTTATGTGCTCTCCACGGCTTCTGTGTCCGAGGAAACGTTTTGGGTTGATCCAGTTTCCCTTCCCTGTTCAGGGGTGCAGGTCTCCCAGGTCGTCCGCAGGGTTATTAAGTCTAGCCATCGTGTGGTTCATCCCCCTGTCCATGACTTGTAAGCTCACTGCTCTTGCTGCCATCTTTGGCAACATGTCCTGGTTTGACATTCGGGCGTGGGGTTTTTGGCGGTCGAACAGGGTCCTGGCTGTTCGGTATCTCATGAACATTCATGGGTCTAGTCGGGCCTGTGTCGCAATGGGTCGGCGGTTGCAGCCAGTTGTCTCGACTTTGAGTTGAGTAGTGAGCAGCGACCACCTCCCGGGTAAATCCCTCTACTTTTTCCTCTGTGGGTAGTTAGCTCCGGGGAGCCGAAGGGGCTCCCCCCAGAAAACCAGCGTTGAATGTAATGAAACACTATTTTCTAGGCGAGACCCGGAGGCTCCCCAGCATTCCTCCCTCCCTCCGGTCGGCATTTTTTTTGCATGTTTTGACATCCAGCCTCAGAACTGAAGGGTAGATAGCCGGTGCGGGGTCTTGGGCTCCCCCATCCCCCTCCAGGGGAGGAGGGAGCTGCGCAGACAGCGGCGCGACGACGTGTGACGTCATGCTCGTTTGCTCGTTTCTTTTAAGGGAGTTCTATCCACTTGTTCGAATTTTGGTAGCAAAATTTTCACCAGAATAGGGGTTTGTTTTGGGATGCTTACCTTTCTGGTGCCTGACCCAGTCGATGCAGACATAGAATGCTTCCAACCATACGGGGGTTTCTAAAGGCCATTGCTCCCCATCCCTCTCTGAGGGAGCCAGGTTCTGGCTCGTGATCCCCGGTAGGCCCACAGAACTGATGCCAAAGTCTGACATTAGCATATCAGCCTAGTAAGCTCCGGGGAGCCTCCGGGTCTCACCCAGAAAATGGCGTTTCATTACATTCAACGCTGTTTTTTTTTTTTCTAATTTTTTATGTTTGTCTCGCTAGGTTTATTTTATTATTATAAAGATGAGCATGTACCGGTGTTAAGAAATGCTGACTTAGTCTAGGTAATTTTCATTACAGTATTGCAAGCACATTTTATCTTTATTTTTTATTTTATTTAAATTTTCTCATTTCTTATTTTTTTCAGTTTCATCTCATATTTTTTTCTGTGTATTGTAACTGTAGAATTAATTTGTTCACATTCTGATACAGATATCTGTAGTAACATTCAAAATGAGCCGAATGCAGATTGTACAAGAATCACGGGGCTATGAGTCAACTGTGAAGGTCCAGTGCTGCCATCTTGTGTGCGAGGAGTGTTCTACCATGGGCTACGACGAGTTCCAGGTACCTACCCATTTCTAGTTTCGTTATTTTCCAAATCTTGATATTTTTATATATTTTTGCATGACCTTTGGGTTCTATTATATTAACATGTTATGTTTGATGTGTTGTGTAATTTGACTTGAATGAGACCTTATAAATCGGAGTTTAATTTTCTATAGTTTTGTGTGTTAGAATTTTAAGGAAAAGCGCACATTTATACTAAATTATTAAAATGATTACATGTGCTGAAGACTCATTGGTATATATTTAAAGAGAAAGAAACACAATAATTAAAAACAAATGCTATATTATGAGTGATCTTGCATTACAGAAGGAATAGCAGCATCAAATCTTAGAAGTTGAGATATTGTTAGAGACTCGGTTACTCCAACAGCCTATTTCTAACCTTTTTTTTTAATTAGGAAATATTAATTCTACACATTTGGTTCTCACATCAGTGAAACAATGCTCTATTTATCCTGTGTCATCTTACAGAATTTCACTTTCACAATCAACAGTGGTACAGAAAAGGGCCAAATGGATATTGTAATTTGTTTTGTCAGGGATAGCAAGCCTGTAATTTCCAAAGTGTAATTACGTCAGTATAGTTTCAGGATGAGAGCTACGTTCTTGGTGTCCCACCTTCTTAGCACTGTCATATATTGCTTTGAAACTACTGACAGTTTTGACCTCCACCTCCACCTCACTTAACTTATGTCATCTACCACTCTAATTGCAAAAGAAAACTTTCTATTATTTTTTGACACCTTTGTGTGTTACTATTTACTATTTGTATATACTATTTGTATCTGTAGAATTGAGCCATTAGCTCTTGGACCTCTCCTTTCTAACCAATTTATTTTTCCTCTATGATGTCTACTACATATATTTCTCTTACACACACAAAAATGCACAAAATTTTGCATCACACTGAGGAGTCACACTGCTGCAGCCTCCAGGATAAATCAAATTGTCCAAGTGTTGGGAGCAGGGTGAGTGGTGTCCCAAAATGTCTGAAGATGTAGGGAATTTGAAAAGAAACTAAGAGACAAGAAATAAGTGTAAGTGAATGAAAAATCTGGGCTAGAAAAGTTGATCTTAAAATACAACAGAATGTCAACAACAAAGATGGCCGCCACCACAGGGAAGGACAGCACACCAACAAAGGAATGTTTTGCAGGATTCTTAGTACAAGATATAATGAATGGTGGTTTTCTTGGCAGGTTAGTAATTATTGAGTACATGCTAAAGAATTATGAAGAAAAGGTAATTAAATTAGAAAAAGGAAATGAAGGTCTCATGATCGAGTTTTGTAATTTAAAAGGAAGTATTTTCCAGCAAGGTACGGAAATTACCAGCTTGACTGATAAGGTAAAGGATACAGGAGGAACACACCAAGGAACTAGTGAAAGATGAGGCATGGAAAGTGAAGAGTGGTGACTGAAGAAATAAACAAGAAAATAGACTCATATGGTGAACAAGTCCAAGGAACCCTGAGGGCTAACATGGAGTTAGGCAAGGATATGTATAGAGAAACTTCATTGACAGCTCACATAAAGGAGGTAAAATAAAAAAAAATAATAAATAAAATAAAAACTAGAAAAGTATAAAGAAGAAATAAAGGAGACATATGCACAAGCTGTAAAAGAGAAAGAGATGATTAAGGAAGTGTGTTTGGAATTCAAAACCAGAAATGACAAACAAGAAGCTGATCTTAGGCAAGCAGTTAGGAAAGAACTGGTAACCAACAGTAAACTAGTACATAACACTGCAGTTAGATGTAAGTCCATTATAATCTTTTGGTGTTTAGAGAAGGAAATATCATCTAGGGTAGACAGAGCAGCAGAAGAGATGAAAATCAAAGAAAAAATAGTAGGTTTAGGAGAAGGCCTAAATTCAAAGGAACATGTCAGTGATTTTAGGAGGATAGGAAATATGAGAAAGACAAGAACCGCCCCTTAAGGGTGACATTTAATGGAGTGAAACACATGACAGAAGTGATTAGACATGCCAAGAAATTGAAATGTGATGATGATGGCAAACTTTGGTCAATTAGACAAGACCTCTTAAAGGAAGACAGAGAAAAGCTGAAAATTAACTTCATTGAAGCAAAATGTCTAAATTGGAATAAAAATGAAGAAGACAAAAAAAAATTTTTTTTTTCTACAAAGTGTCAGGAACTGGAAGGTTAGCGAAATGGTACATTCATGTATCAATACGTCAAGCAGGCCACAAGAATGAGGGAAAGGGATGTCTCATCAGTACTGGATCTAATATTCACCAGGAAAGAAGAGGACATATTAGACATCCAGTACCTTCCTCCTTTGGTGTGATCATGTCCTGTTGGACTTTATATATGCTTTTGAGATATAAACTAAAAGAAAACGGGGACATTGTAACAGTTGTTAAACTTGATTTCAAGAGAGGTCACTCTGGGGACCTTAGAAATTTTTTTAACGATTGTAATTGGACAGACTTGTTGTTCAGCAAGGAAGTAAACGAGATGTGTGCCAATTTTGAAAAATATATGATGAAAGCACACAAACATTCATACCAAAACAGAGATGCAGACCTAGGAAATTAGGATTGGTTCAACAAAAATTGTGAGAAAGCCAGAGACCAAAAGACACAAAAATGGAATCAATATAGAAAACAGCCAAACCCCCCAAACATGCCTGTGACACAAAGTTGCGAGAAACAACTACATTGGCAGTGAGGAGAGAGGTAGAAAGAAATTTTGAAAGGGGATTGCGGACAAATGTAAAACAGAACTGGGCCTATTCTATAAATTCATAAACAACAAATTGCAGGTAAAGGATAATATTCAGAGGTTGAAAATGGGAAACAGATTTACAGAAAATAAAAAGAAAATGTGTGAAACATTAAACAAAAAGTTTCAAAGTGTGTTTGTACAAAATGGAATCTCCAGGGAACCAGACGCAATAATAATTCCAGAGAACATCTTAGAGCACATAGAGGTGTCTAGAGAAGAAGTGAAAAAAATGTTCAAGGAGCTTAGTTAGAACAAAGCCGTTGGTCCAGATGGAGTTTCACCATAGGTTCTGAGAGAATGTGCACCTGAGCTCAGCATTCCACTTCAACTGTTTTTTCAGGCATCCCTGTGTACAGGAGTTGTAGCTGATGTGTGGGAAAAGGCTAAATTGGTATACAAACATGATATATTCCAGTGTACAAAAGTGATAGCAGGAAAGATCCCCCTCAATTATAGACCTGTATTATTGGCAAGTGTTAGTTTAGGTTAGTTCATTTATTATGCACCCCATACCCATTTTGTGGGCGGTAGTGGAAAGGGTTACAGAGGCACATAATGGGCTCAGGGACTGAACCCCACAATTCATTTAGCTAAGCAAGTTACAATCTTGATGAGCTAGTTACAAAATTCAATATAAGTCGTCACATCAACAATGGATTCGAGATCGACTTCAAGTACAGGTTCTAAATTAAGCAACTGACATATGTGGAGAGCTAGTGTCACAATTTATATGTTTGTCCTGCACACCGCCCCCCATCCAGTGGGCAGCGGTGGATAGGTTACAATCACTCAGTTACTACCTACAGTTAGCAAACTGGGAATATTTGGCTAAAATTTCTGGTAGCAGATCATTTTGAATGAAATATTTACACATCGCTGGAACATTGGTTATAGAATTGTCTCTAAATTCACGTATCTTTTCGCACTCCATCACATAGTGACGGAGGGTGTGCGAATAATTTTGTTGACACAGTTTACATTTGGTCAGGTCTACATCAGCAGATAATGAGAATTCCCAGAGATACTTGTAACCGAGTCTAAGCCGAGCAGTAGTAACATCTAGAAGTCTGCTTGGCAAGTGTAATAGTCAAAATATTGGAAAAAATAATTAAAATGATATAAAAAACGACATATCAGACAGACAGTATGGTTTTCGATCTGGAAGATCCTGTGTAACGAATTTACTCAGTTTCTATGATCCAGCAACAGATATTTTACAGGAAAGGGGGTGGTTGGATTGACTGCATCTATCTGGACCTTAAAAAGACTTTCAACAGAGTTCCACATAAGAGATTGTTCTGGAAACTGGAACATATTGGAGGGGTGACAGGTAAGCTTCTAACATGGATGAAAAATTTTGATAGAAAAATGAGGGCAGTAATCAGAGGCAATGTATCAGATTGGAGAAATGTCACAAGTGGAGTACCACAAGGGTTCAGTTCTTGCACAGGTAATGTTCATTGTCTACATAAACACTCTACAAGATGGAATACACAATTATATGAACATGTTTGCTGATGATGCTAAGATAATAGGAAATATCAGAAACTTAGATGACTGTAATGCCCTTCAAGAAGACCTGGACAAAATAAGTATATGAAGCACGACTTGGCAAATGGAATATAATGTGAATAAATGCCATGTTATTGAATGTGGAATAGGAGAACATAGACCCCACACTACATATAAATTATGTGAGAAATCTTTAAAGAATTCTGATAAAGAAAGAGACCTAGGGGTGGGTTCTAGATAGAAAACTATCACTTGAGGATCACATAAAGAACATTGTGCGAGGAGCCTATACTACACTTTCTAATTTCAGAATTGCGTTTAAATACATGGATGGCGAAATACTCAAGAAATTGTTCACAACTTTTGTTAGACCAAAGCTGGAATATGCAGCGGTTGTGTAGTGCCTGTATCTTAAGAAGCACATCAACTAACTGGAAAAGGTGCAAAGAAATGCCACTAAGTGGCTTCCAGAACTGAAGGACTTTCTGCCCAAAGGATAGGTTTATCCCAGCCCAAAAGCAGAAAAATGAAAAGCAACAGAAGAATCCATGGTTCAGTCAGGAATGTAAGGTAGCGATGCAATAGAGTACAACAACATGGAGAAACAACAGGAATAACAGAACACCAGAGAACGGGGAGAGATACCAGAGGGCCAGAAATGAGTACCTCAGAGTGAGGAGAGAAGCAGAGAGATAGTATGAAAATGACATCTCGAGTAAAGCTAAGACCCAACCAAAACTGTTCCACAGCCACATCAGAAGGAAAACAGCAGTGAAGGAACAAGTGATGAAACTGAGAAATTGGGAGAACAGATACACAGAGAATGACAAGGAGGTGTGTGAAGAACTCGACAAGAGATTCCAGGAGGTCTTTAGAATAGAACAAGGAGAAGTCCCTGAACTAAATGAAGAGGTAAACCAAGCAACCTTAGAGGAATTTGACCTCACCAGTGATGAGACAAAAAGGAATCTGTTGGAGCCGAATTTGACAAAGGGTGTTGGGCCTGACAGAATCCCACGGTAAATACTTAAAGAAGGTGCAGAGGCACTAAGTGTGCCACTCTCTATGGTGTATAACAGGTCACTGGAAACAAGAGACCTACTAGAAATCTGGAAGACAGCTAATGTAGTCCCAATATACAAAAAGGGTGACAGGCAAGAGGCACTGAACTACAGGCCAGTTTCCCAAACTTGTATACCATGCAAGGTGATGGAGAAGATCATGAGGAAAAGGTTCATAGAGTATCTGGAGGGAAATAGCTTTGCAAGACACCACCAGCATGGGTTCGGAGATGGTAAATCGTGCCTCACAGGTTTAATAGAAAATATTTGGGTTATCCAGCCAAAATCTAGTTTGGATAATTTTCTGCAAAACTTCCCCGTATCCTAACAGAAATTCAGATAACCAGAGATTTGACTGGATAACGCAAACTGACACAGAGTCTCAAGTCAAATTCTGATAATTTTTTTGGTAAAACTTCGCCATATCTGAACAGAAATTCAGATATCCGGAGATCAGGTTATGACAATTATCAAGAACTACACATTTCAAGATCTATAGTAGCACACAAGACAACTACAAGATAAGCTGCAGTTTCTCTTTTAAATTATATTTTCGAGTCAGAACCTGGTCCCCTCAGAGAGGTTGCAGGGAGCAGTGGACCTGGAAAACTCCCCTGTGGTTGGGTGTTTTCCTTATCTGCCATCAACTGGGGTTAGGCTCCCAGAAAGGTAGGCATAATAAAACAACCCCCCCCCCACATGGTAAGAAAATTACAACTAAAAACCGAAAAGAGAGATAAAACTCCCTCCAATTCAAAGGAAACGAGCAAACGTCACACTCCACTGCCATGCCCTTGTCCGCACAGCCCTGCTAAAGGGAAAGGGGGAAGTCCCGATCCTCCTTGCACAGGCTGCCCAGCACTTCAGTTTGTTAGTTAATGTGGTCCGGGGTGGATGTCTTCTCCGGCCTCGATTTCCATAGGTGGGCTTTTGCCTTCGTGGTGACCTCTGCAGTGTTATGTGTAGTGGCCAGGTGTTCTCATCAGTGCCGGGGCTGTATGTGCTTAGGGGCATTCTACCCTGGGTGCCCTGTGAGTACTGCCCTTGCGTGTTAGGGTTCCCCTCCCTGATGTGTTCAGGAAACCATTTCCATAAGGGTTTTTGCTGCTCGGCATTTACCCCGCCCTTGAGGCCAGCTTGGGTGCATCTTGTGTTGTGTCCGTTGCTGCTCTCCGCCATTATTTGCGCTCTTCAGCTTCGGTGACTGGGAATGCGCTTTAGGTTGATCCGGTTTTCCTCGTTCCCTGTTCCAGTGTTCGGGTCTCCCAGGTCGTCCACAGGGTTATTAAGTATAGACAACCTGTGGTCTATCCTCGTGCCCATACATTAGAAAGTTTGCTGCATTGGTTGCCGTGTTTGGCACATGTCTTTGGGCTGATATTCGGGCGTGAGGATTTTGAAGGTCAAACAGGGTCCTGGCATCCGACTACTTGGTTAACGTTCCTGCTCCTGTGCGTTCCTGTGTTGCTTTGAGTCGCAGGTTGCAGCCAGTTGCCTCGACTTTACCTTGAGGAGTATGTGACAGCTGCCTCCCGGGTAAATCCCTCTTTTCCTTCTCTTTGGTTATGTAGCTCCAGGGAGCCAAGAAGCTCCCCACAAAAAACCAGCATTGAATATAATGAAATGCCATTTTCTGGGCGAGTCCCCAAAGGCTCCCTGGTAACCCTCCCTCCCTCCAGTCGGCAGTTTTTCATGTTGTTTGATGCTTAACTTCTGAACTTGAGTGCTGGGTAGCCAGCACAGGGAGGGGAGGGCTGCACAGACGAGTGCAGCAGTGGAGTGTGACATTTGCTTGTTTCCTTGGGATTGGAGGGAGTTCTACCACTGTTTTTGGTTTCTAGTTGTAATTTTCTTACCATGTGGAGCTTGTTTTGTTATACTGTACCTACCTTTCTGGGTGCCTAACTCCTGTCAATAGCAGATAAGGAAAATCCCCAACCACTTGGACCCCCCCCCAACCTCCAGGGAGCCTCTGGGGCTCACCAAGAAAATTACTTTTCTTTACATTCAACACTGGTTTTTTTATTGTAGTGTGTGTGTAAATAAGAATTATGGTGGGTGTGGTACAAAAAAATTGCAAATATGATCATTTTTGGACTCTTTCCCCCCCCTCCCATCCTGTAAGAATTTTTCTTGTCCAAATGTTTGGCTTATCCAGCAGAGGATGCTTCCCATTTAATTTAGATAAGTGAGCTTAGCCAATACTAACAGGAATTGACCAAATTGACAAAGAGGAATTCCTGAAACCAGTAACATCACGAACACGAGGACACAGTTTCGAGCTAAGGGAACAGAGGTTCCGAAAAAAACATTAGAAAGTTTCCTTTTGCAAATAGAGTGGTAGACGGTTGGAACAAGTAGAAAGGTGGTGGAGGCCAAAATCATCGGTAGTTTCAAAGCATTATACGACAAAGAGTACTGGGAAGACGAGCGTAGCTCTCATCCTGTAACTACACTTAAGTAATTACACACGCACTGTACACTTTAATCTTGTATCAAGGTTCCCCGAAGGTCAAACTACTGACCTTTCCCAGGAGGCAACCCCATGACCGTTGCCTAACTAGCTATTTATTGCTAGATGAACAGGAACATGCCCAACCATTTCTGTTTGCCTGGGAATCAAACCCAAGATCCTCGATTTTGAGTCAAGAATGAAGCCAACTGTATTACGAGACCCCAAAAGTTTTAAAAGATATTTAGATTGGGCTGCCTGGAGGTTTGTCGATCATAGTGAGCTATTAAAGATGATGATTCTGATACAAGAAATGCATTAAATGTAGATAATCTTTGCTGATTGTAGCACCAGCAACTCTCACATAGGACTGGTGTGTTACATCAACTCTTGGTAAAACTTGTACTCCTTAATTGTGAAAATGAGAAAATATTGTCTTTGGTATCATAAAAAACATACACTAAATTTTATAGTGTTTCTTTCTAAAAGATAAATATACGTATATATTACATATAAAATTTCAAGAACTCTTCAAAAGTGTTGAGTCATTGTATATTTTTTTTAATTTTTTTTTCAAAATTGAATATCCTATTTTAAACCAAAGACTTTTTGCTTAATTTAATTGTGTAGCAATGATTTATGTAGATAACTATAGACTAAGAAATATTACTAATTAATTAAATGGATTTAGTGTTCTCAGTATTTTATAAATGTTGTTTTCAGCTAACATATTTGCTGCATATGATGATGCATTTTCTTTGGATATTCATGAGTAGAGCCTAATTGTTATGATTACATTTTTCAATAATTCTTCTTCTTCTTCAGCTGTTATTATGCTCTATTAATTACCAAGTGTTGCATGTGTATATATAACATTGGTGTCAGAGCATTACAGGGTGTCACCTTTTGTCTTATAAAAGGATGTTACTCGCAGTTTTGCCTGACATCCATGTGAGCAGATCATGTGTGGGTTGTGTCTTAGAGTCGTGATTAGGGCTGGTCCCCACATGCCTGATGAGATGCAACTTTGCAACAGTGTGTCATTGCAATCTTTGGAAGGGTGATTTGTCCCCAAGCAGTGTTTGGTAAACCTACAAGTATTAAGTCTAGCTGCACCGTGTCAGGTATGTAGGGATTTGCCTGCAAGTTGAAGGTTTTAATACTTTCCTGGACCTTGGGTGAACACGTTGTTCGTTGTGCAGACGAGGAGTCACAATAACGTGGCTGAAATATGTTGACCAGACCACACACTAGAAAGTGAAGGGACGACGACGTTTCGGTCCATCTTGGACCATTCTCAAGTCGATTGTGTCGTCGATCAAAACGTCGTCGTCCCTTCAATTTCTAGTGTGTGGTTTGATCAACACGTTCGTTGTGTTTGACTGACGCATCACAAACACGACTAATAACGGTGTATTGCCCAAGTCGGAAATGAAAAGTAGGAATTGTAACTAAACAGTTAAAAATGACAGCCTCTTACTATTTCCCCCCTCTTGTTCTACGGAACCACCAGAAACGTCCAGGTTGCAATGATGGTCGTAAGGTAAACCGCGTGTGTTAACCCACTGCTTATGCTGCTTGGCATGTTAGACTGTGTTTGTTGCGTGTGCAAGTGTAGCCACTGTCTATCGTAAACATTGACTAGCTTTAGAGATGTGCCATTTTGCTATCTTATAACTGCATGTTTTGTTAAGTAACTTTGGACCTTTTTAAGTGCATGTGGGCTGAGGAAGAATGCAGTATCAGCTGATATGTAGACATTTTTAGTTCAATTGCTCATTATACAGTATTTGAAAATACTAAAACAAAAATTTAATAACTGATCAACTTTATTATGTCTTCTTGTACATTATTGACTGAAGAACTTCAGTTTTCATCTTTTGAGTAACATTACACTTGCTATTTTCATTCATTTATAATATATGTTTATAGTTTAATGTTACTTGACTGATTAAATTCTTAATCATAACTTAAAATTTCATTGATATTGTAGTGTTTCCTGGAGATACATAGACAATAACACAGGCATAAGTGCCTTTTTTATTAACCTTCATTCACTTGGTCACATCCTTACAACTCCACTTGTCTTGTAAATTAACTTTATGTAGACATTACATAAAGACTGCTAGATATTCCCAATGAAATCACAAGAATGTGATATATTTGAGAAGATATTGAAGCCAGATGATGATCAAATCTGTATCGCTGGACTTCAAGGCATGTATGCACACGTCAGAGTAAGTCAGGTAGTACTGTATTGTCTATAGAGCCTACCCACATTTGAGTTGGCCAAACATTAAAGTTAACTGGCTCTTTTTGCCAGAACTGTTGAAAAATTAAACAGTTAAAATTCTCATTTGGCAGAATCCACAGTAACCCAAATTTCTATTAGAGTCGAGATGTCGGGCCTACCAACCCGAATTCCTATTCAGATTAAAAGGTCAAAAATGCGTAAACAAAAATTCAAATGCTGGTTACTCAGAGGTTTGGGTTACTGGAATGCGAATTGCCAAATTCTTCCAGTACTTCTGGTCGAGGAGATACTGTTAGTCCACCGTGATTGAGTCAGAAGTGTGAGCGCCCGAGGTGGTCAGGGATGCGGGTTTGATCCCATTGTATGGCTTCACTATTTTCTCATCGTCGGTTATTGTACACAAACTACAGCTCAGCCTCTCATCTGCTACATCAGTGAATGGAGTCTAAACAAAACCAAAAAATTTCTGTTCTGTGAAATGTTTGGGGAACTGCATGAAAAATTTTTTCTTAGATATAGGAAATAGATGATAGTTGAAATAAAATATATTTGCTTTTATCAGCATAGTTTTTCATAAACTATAGAATCATTAGATATTGTATACCCATTGTTTAAATCATAATTAAATCATTTTTCTCACAGGCTTTTAAGTTTTACTCCTTGACTGATTCAAGTTATAGTTGTATCATGCGTAACTTTGACTGTTGAGTGTAACAGATTGGTGTTGTAAGACATACCAAATATTCATGCTGTAATGCTTGCCATCACACATTCCTGTCTCTTTCATTTTGCGCTTTGTTCCAGTAGTTCTATCACACGTTTGTCACTCATACTCATCCTTCACATACACCAGTAGCTCTATTACATCACACATCACTCATACTCATCCTATCATATTAATGGTAGTTCTTTCAAACATTCTTGTCACTCATTCTACGCATATACCGGCAGCTCTTTCACACGTTCGTCATTCATACTCACCCTAGGCATATACCAGTAATTCTATCACAAATCACTCATACTCATCCTATGCATATTATTGATAGTTCTATCACATGTTTTCTACCTTGATAATTTTTGGCATAAAACTCTCACCACCTTGATTTAGGAGAGCAGGTAAGAGCCACCAGTTTGTCTGATCACCATACACTGTATACATTATGGAGCTCTGACTGGAATATCTGCCTGGTATAACAGGACCCACCCAGTATAATGGGACCCACCCAGTATAATGGGACCCACTTAATATAATGGCACCTGTCTAATATAATGGGATCTGCCAAGTATAACAAGACCCACTTAGGATGGGTGAACCGGCCTGCTACAGTGCTCCCTAATTCATGTGTCTTGTATGTCACTAATTACAACTATGAATACAGTAATACAGTGCTGCAGAGACAAAATAACAATAGCATAACTGAAAGTTAGTAACCCGACCATGTTATATAAAGCAAGGAAAGTATGATGTTTCAGTCCATCCTAAACACAGGATGGATCGAAACATCATTTCTTTCTATTCATGCATGTGCATTGAGTTAAATACCCTGTTATCTATAATGACAAATCTACAGATTGAAATCTTTTGTATTATCCATATACAGTACATCAAAAGAGCAAAAACAGCATATAATTTTAAAATTTGACACTGTAAATGGAATTGTGCAAGATAATCCACTAGTATTCAACCTGTCCTCTTACTCAATGTGCTACATTTTTTACATAATTGTAACCACCATAAAATTTGCGTTGATTTATGAAAATGATAAACAGAGCAATATTGACACTTTAAGTAACTAATACGTATTAGGCAGACGATGTCACAATAACATGGCTGAAATATGTTGACCAGCCCACACACTAGAAGGTGAAGGGACGACGAAGTTTCGGTCCGTCCTGGACCATTCTCAAGTCAATTCTGTAGACAATCAACTTGAGAATGGTCCAGGACGGGCCGAAACATCGTTGTCCCTTCACCTTCTAGTGTGTGGTCTGGTCAACAATAAGTATTAGTTCTGGTGGGTTAGGTGGTAATCTAGGTTCTAATTTGGTTACGCTAAACCACTGCATTTTCTTGTGGAGGGAAATCGATAGTATGGGCCGAGTATTCGGTAAGTTTAGACCCATTTAAGGTCTTCATTCTTCATTGGCACTGTTACACCAACCATACTGGGACCTTTGAGGATACTGTATATCCGTGAGAGAAAATGACAATACACATGACCAGTGATGAAAGTGGAATTTGGGAACTAGGTATACAGTACCTTGGTTTTTGGAACTACAGTATATATAGTGGTATATGCTAAGGCTGTATCCAGGTTTTATGCTGAGGAATCACAAGGTGGAGTCCATCCATGCCTTCAACAAATAAGCAAGTAATTTTAATTAGAAGAAACTTAACAATGGATAGCTAATAAATATCTCCATTAGTACATAAATTGAACAAAAAACACTGGAAATCGAGAAATAGGTACACCTATGTACCCTCCTTCCCATTTCTATCACTCTACATGACTATATACTTGGAATAGCAATATTAGAACACAATAAAATATTTATAGTTTACAAACCCCACCGAGTCGAATAAGAGCCATTGAAGACTGCACCGAAAATAATTGAAACTACCCGAAGGTCATGGATAAGGCAGCAACTGTGACGAGGAAAGCTAGGACCTGTCCTTAGTCTGTTACTATCCACATTTATGGTGTGCCAAACTTGTCTCCAAGTTATGTAAGAAAAATTGAGACAAATTCTTATAGATCTATTTCTATAGTTCGAGAATGTTCGAGAATGTCCTCTCGAACATTCAAATTGATGATGTACTAAATTGCCTAAACCTAACCTGCCCGAGGACCCAAGAATAGAAAAACGGGGGGCGTCTTGTCAATTTTGTGAGCTGCTGTGATTTTTGTACTGTACATTAGTTTTTGGCCTTAGGGGATTTATGTCAAAATGCAATGTATTATTCAAGAGGACAGACTGAAGCACTAATGCTTGTAAGAGTTTTATCAACGGGGAAAGAGATTTTAATACAAGGAACTCCTCATAGCAGGTACGAAATGTGGAGAGTAAGGTTAATAAACACTGCAGATAAGAATTTTCTTAAATGCCATTAATTTGTTTTGTTGGGGACAGGAAGCCCATGTATAATTTAGGCTTTTATGTCCCCACCTCCCCCCTTGAAGGTGGGTCTACTGACCTTCCCCAAGATGCAACCCCCAACAGCAGTTGCCTAACTCCCAAATACCCATTTACTGCTAGGTGAATGGAGGCATTAGGTGAAAAGAAACATGCTGGACCATTTCTGTCCTGCCCAGGAATTGAACCCGGGATCCCCAATTAAGATTCGAGAATGAAGCCAACTGTGCTAAGAGACCCCGATAGAGGGATGGGCACACTAGCCATTCTGGGTCTATTGTTCACCCAAACTGAGGCAGGTATTGAGAAAAGAGAATAAAAGTTACCACTTGGAGCCAAGAGCTACAACATTATAGTGATTTGATTACATATTCAAACTGGGAAGAGAGCAGAGCGAAGAATGAGTCATGAAGTGTACAAGAATGTGGAAGGGGTAAAGGACTGCCTGCAGGAAATGCCATCTGATAATGAACTAGGGAGGTAAACACCGTTTAAGGTAATGGAAAGTAAGAAAATGTCATGATCATCCCAATTGGGAATACTGTACATCAATGAAAAAAATAACAAATCAATTTAGATTCAATAGGCAGTTTTATACAAGTGTCATTCCTGGTTACCTTCCACTGGCTGAACTTTTCTATCATCTTTGCCCCAAGTCTGTTTCTTCGTTCTGCGACCTCCTCAGGTAAGTTCCTCCTTGCTGTATTTTTCTTACTGCTGTAGCTTAGTATAGTTAGAGGAAGGGATAAGGGCAGCTGCCAATGGGGTCTTGTTGATAAATAAAGCCATAATTCCAATGATGTCCCCTTTTCTGAGCAGCACTTCATTAGCTCCTATTCCTGCTCCTTAATTCTTCTCATACGTGAGGGCCAATTAGTGTTGTTGCTGGGTGATGCTCCCCATGCCTTGTGACTCTGGAGTGGCTAAGTGAAATGTCACTCTACTTCAGAAGGAATTTGCATGCTCTATATGTGTATTATTATAAAAAATATTTTCAGTTTGAAGTAGAATTTTGTATAGTTCTTTCTGTGCATACAAAAAGATGTCTACTTAGCAGGTTAATGAAGCTGGTGTTAACCTCGGCAACTTTAATTATGAATGGGTACATTGAGCTATGGCCGAGACCAGCAACGGACTCCTAGCTTATAGTTGAC